TGATAAATGACAGGAAGGCTTTATTTACTACAGCTGATCACTATTAAATGAGCTTACAGCAAAGCAAAGTCCAATATATTTAGCTGTAAAAGTGATAGTATATCACCAATAAAGGCAAAGAGTCTCAGTCTTGTCTGCTTCTCAAGACATGGATCTGTTCACCAGAAGATCAGCTGGACACAGTAGAAGTTCTTGTGTTGAGCCATTTTTCACTCTTGAAGCATGTCCTATTACCTGCTTCATTCCTTTTTTATACCCTTTAGCTCAGCATCTTCAAAGCATTCTTACAGTTGTGTAAATCAAGAGAGAAACCTAAGCAATGATTAATATGAAAATCCTGTTAATCAAGCTGTGCATTACTGGTTATCAGAGAGGCTATTCAATCAAAATTGGGCCTTTCTCAGTCATAGGAGGTTATCAATTTCTAATGAGTTGGAACATATCAAGAAATTGGTTAACAACTGGGAAAAACACAAAGGTTTTGAGTTGTTTTTGGAAGATCAAGGGAACCACTGAGGCAAAAGTAAAGTAAATCAGGAGGAAACAGCTATCAAAATCTATATGGAGAATGTCTCTTCCTGCACATAAACATGAGTTAATTACAAAGAAATATTTACTATAATAATTAATCAAGGATAGACATTTCACACAGTAACATACCAGGCACATGGGAGCCTGCTTAAAATCATCATAGATATGTTGGAAGTGATGTCTCATTATTTCTTTTCAGAAGGTCCAGCCGCAAACTTACATGCTCTTGCACTATGCAATTGTCATTAATATTCTGTATTTTAACTTTTGTGAGTAGGCCCAGCTCCGCTTAAGCTTCACAGACCAGCTCTAACCACCCTCATACTCCCTATCCTATGGGAGTATGCTACAATTTTTGTTATTGGAGCAGTGGAAAGAAGTTTGCCATCAACAAAGGGGAAAGATTTGTTTTTCATTCTTTTCTGATTCTGAAGAACAACGTCATTTGTGTCTTGAGGTAGCTACAGCATTCATATGCTGGCTTATGTTCAATGTGGTGATCCCTGCCTGTATAATCTTATTCCTTGATTTAAATGCTTGGCTCATTTGTGGGGAATGAGAGAAATAGGAGACGTTGCTGTGTTCCGAGAAGTCGATACTGACTTCAACGGAAAAATAGAATCTATAGGACCGATTTTGGACTCTGACATTCTTATCTGCCACCAGAGAGACTCCAAAGTGTACCAGACTTTTGTACCTGCCTGCAGTTCACTCCAAGACATCAATGAGTACTTCCATCTGTCTGGTAGGCC